GCTAAGTTAGGCTGGTGGCCCCAGGCAGTCTTCAGAGTCTGGAACCTGTCCACATCAGCACTACTGAAGGCCTAGAGGGTGACAATCAGCCACTGCCGGTCAGTGCCTTGCAATGACTCCAGCACAGGATTCTTGAGCTGGTAGATCCTTGATGTTAACAGCCCAGAAATCACAGGGCATCTTTGTCATAGGAAGCATGGTTACGATTGTTTGATAGTATTTGCTGGTGAGATCATAGAAACAACAGCGAACTGATGTCACACCAGGGAGGTGGAGGAGCATCTCTTCAAAGTCTTCGATTATCTCCTTTGTAACTTGTAGATCCATAATGTTTAAGTTTGGAGCTCTGATTGTTGTTTTACACAAGATCACTGCCTCATCACTACTTTTCACCTTCTCACGAGTCTTTTCCAGAAAAGTAAGAGCTACACTGGGATCAATCATCTGTCTAACCACATGCAGAATTCCATCTACCAGTGACAAAGCGTTCACCCTGAGTTCAAATTCACTGATGAAGATTTCATAAAGCTTAATGAGACCATCTCCCTAGGCAAAGCATGGGTCCTGTACAAAATCAAGGACCTGAAGTGTCAGTTGATGCCATAACTTCTTTGGGTAGAGCTCCTCTAGACGGTGCCACCCAGCAGCCTAACTGGGCCCACAGCTCTGACTCTGCTCTAAGAAGCCCCGTATATCCTTCATGATGGCAGGCATCTGTGTCATCTTGTGTAATTCCTATATTTGTCAAAATGTTCCAAATTTCTTATAATTTTTTAACATGCATTAATTATAGTCATTTTCTATTTTATGCTGTAACTCTATTCTCTGAAATATATGGTTCTGTTGCTCATTCTCTTACTCAAGTGGTCTGTTTCCTTGTGTGTTTTATATAGTTTTTGAGTATGAAATTCTTTTGAATGGAGATCTTTTTTTCTGGAACATCTCTAAAACCAACATTAAGCTTGAATTCATCCAGCAAGGATTGCATTTCCTTTTGAGTTACCAGGAGCAACTCAAATCACTTTATTGTATTAAAATTTCTTCACAGATATCTTAGATAATACAAGTAATATGAATGAATAAAAATAAGTGTTGTCATCAGCTTATGATGCAAATTTTAAATATTTTCCCCTCATCCAGTGCCAAAGTTGAGATAAGCATGTTTCATTTTTTTCTTTTGTAAAAAAGTGAATTTTTTTTTACTTTAAATAGTTTTACATATTCAGAAAAATGTGAACATAACCTAGTGTTCCCATTTACCCCGCACCCAGTGTCCCCTGTTATCAGCATGTCACATTCATCTGGATTATTTGTTCCAGTCACTAGACCCAACCTGGCATTATCAATTAAAGGCCATTTTTATTCAGCATTCCTCGATTTTTATCTAATATCCTTTCCCTGATAGCGTTCCACCCAAGATATCATATTATATTCAGTCATCTTGATTTCTTAGCCACTTCCTAAAAGTTTCCAAGAATCTGTGTTTAATGATTTTGACAGCTTTGAAGAGGACTTGTTGATTATTTTGTAGAATGTCTTTCCTTCAGTTAGACTTAGCAAATTTTTTTTCTCACGATGAGACTGGGAGGAAGATCCCACGGGGTAGGCTGCTGTTTTCATCACATTTATCAAGGACACAAAGTAGCAGCATAGTTTATGACTGTTGATGTGGTATCTCTGGATTCCTCCCTGTACTCTCCAGGTGACATCGTTGTGTGCAGGCGCCACTTGCAGCGTCATCTTTGGTCCCCTCCAGGAAGGGTACAGCATCCATATACATTATTTAGAATTTGTCGGCATAGAGGATTTCTCTCTCCTCCTCCATTTGTTTATGTCTGTGTGGAATCATGGATATTTACTGTGCACCTGGAGTGATAGTCCAAAATACTTT